CATAAATATCCCCACAGGGGACATAAATCAGGGAGGTCTATTGATCACCCTCTGGCTTTAAGAGGGCCCTCTCACAGCCAGAGCTGAAGCTCAAGGTCCAGACAAGGGTCCACCGAAGGGCACCTATCTGATCCCAAACCCAATGCATCCGCCTTATCAGCAAACAGGCTGTGAGCGGTATTCACCTGGCATTTAAATCTGATTGTTAACTTATAATATAGCCCACATATAGTGTAGTTCTCACTAAGAAGGAGAGAAATAAAAATAAAAATAGAACAAGACCTAGAGAGAGACCAGAGAAGAATATAGGCAATATTAATAGCTTGATTTAGTGTTTCCTCCTTAAGAGTTAATAACCCCTTCTGTCACTTGCCTGGGTCTAGCACCGATGTCCCTCAGTGCTGTCTCAGCTCTTCTCACGTCAGTCGACAGAGGAAACATAATGCAGATGCGCGGCACTGGCCACGCTCCCATTAGGATTTCCCCATAGGACAGCATTATTCAATGCTTTCCTATGGGGATTCCGGTGACGCTGAAAGTCCTCATGCATAGCGTGAAGACGTCCAGCATCATTTAGGCAACCAAAAGCCGCCTTCAAGTCTGGAAGTCCCTCTAGTGCTGTCTGGTAAACAGCACTTGAGGAGGAGTTAACCCTAGCAGGTAATTATTACAGTTTATAAAAACTGCAATAAATACCACTCTAGAGTTAAGGGTGATGGGAGTTTGCACCCAAACCACTTCAATGAGCTGAAGTGGTCTGTGTGCCTACAGTGTCCCTTTACTACTGTGATGAACACAGAGCCATGTAGAGATTCACAAGATGGAGGAAAACAGTCCACTTAATATAGGGAGTGCAGAATTATTAGGCAAATGAGTATTTTGACCACATCATCCTCTTTATGCATGTTGTCTTACTCCAAGCTGTATAGGCTCGAAAGCCTACTACCAATTAAGCATATTAGGTGATGTGCATCTCTGTAATGAGAAGGGTGTGGTCTAATGACATCAACACCCTATATCAGGTGTGCATAATTATTAGGCAACTTCCTTTCCTTTGGCAAAATGGGTCAAAAGAAGGACTTGACAGGCTCAGAAAAGTCAAAAATAGTGAGATATCTTGCAGAGGGATGCAGCACTCTTAAAATTGCAAAGCTTCTGAAGCGTGATCATCGAACAATCAAGCGTTTCATTCAAAATAGTCAACAGGGTCGCAAGAAGCGTGTGGAAAAACCAAGGCGCAAAATAACTGCCCATGAACTGAGAAAAGTCAAGCGTGCAGCTGCCACGATGCCACTTGCCACCAGTTTGGCCATATTTCAGAGCTGCAACATCACTGGAGTGCCCAAAAGCACAAGGTGTGCAATACTCAGAGACATGGCCAAGGTAAGAAAGGCTGAAAGATGACCACCACTGAACAAGACACACAAGCTGAAACGTCAATACTGGGCCAAGAAATATCTCAAGACTGATTTTTCTAAGGTTTTATGGACTGATGAAATGAGAGTGAGTCTTGATGGGCCAGATGGATGGGCCCGTGGCTGGATTGGTAAAGGGCAGAGAGCTCCAGTCCGACTCAGACGCCAGCAAGGTGGAGGTGGAGTACTGGTTTGGGCTGGTATCATCAAAGATGAGCTTGTGGGGCCTTTTCGGGTTGAGGATGGAGTCAAGCTCAACTCCCAGTCCTATTGCCAGTTCCTGGAAGACACCTTCTTCAAGCAGTGGTACAGGAAGAAGTCTGCATCCTTCAAGAAAAACATGATTTTCATGCAGGACAATGCTCCATCACACGCGTCCAAGTACTCCACAGCGTGGCTGGCAAGAAAGGGTATAAAAGAAGAAAATCTAATGACATGGCCTCCTTGTTCACCTGATCTGAACCCCATTGAGAACCTGTGGTCCATCATCAAATGTGAGATTTACAAGGAGGGAAAACAGTGCACCTCTCTAAAACAGTGTCTGGGAGGCTGTGGTTGCTGCTGCACGCAATGTTGATGGTGAACAGATCAAAACACTGACAGAATCCATGGATGGCAGGCTTTTGAGTGTCCTTGCAAAGAAAGGTGGCTATATTGGTCACTGATTTGTTTTTGTTTTGTTTTTGAATGTCAGAAATGTATATTTGTGAATGTTGAGATGTTATATTGGTTTCACTGGTAATAATAAATAATTGAAATGGGTATATATTTGTTTTTTGTTAAGTTGCCTAATAATTATGCACAGTAATAGTCACCTGCACACACAGATATCCCCCTAACATAGCTATAACTAAAAACAAACTAAAAACTACTTCCAAAAATATTCAGCTTTGATATTAATGAGTTTTTTGGGTTCATTGAGAACATGGTTGTTGTTCAATAATAAAATTAATCCTCAAAAATACAACTTGCCTAATAATTCTGCACTCCCTGTATAGTATAAATTAATAAATTTTGTCAACTAGTAATGATATGCATGGGATGAAGACAGACTTATTTGGAGACCTACAGTAAGAGAACCTAAACAGACATCAAGCTATGATGTATGAATTTAAATTAATCCAAAAACTGTCAGAGCAATGTGGAAAACCAAAGTCAAGGATATGATATGTGTCTCCATTCATCTGGATAAACTGTGCTTTGTAAAATATTTGTTGTGTTTCTACACAGTCAGCACTTGCCATAGCACAGAATTCTCAATCTTTTCAGTTTAACATTTTCCTTATTATAAGTGGATGATGTATAGAAAAAAAGGGGATGATCTGCTAAACAAATAACAAGAACAGTGCATAGCGCATAACTGTGTATATGAATAAACCAAATGTGTAGTTTTCAAATGGCCACTCAAATGAGAGTTTAAAAGTGGTGGAAGAATCATTCCTGGAAGGGCATTTATGCTGAAAAGAGCAATTTATCTTGCTGAAAAGAGCAATTTAATTTCAAGGCATTTCTATTTCAACGAAAGTGTGAGTGGCCATTTGAAAACTACACATTTGGTTTATTCATATACACAGTTATGCGCTATGCACTGTTCTTGTTATTTGTTTAGCAGATCATCCCCTTTTTTTCTATACATGTTCTGTTGAAGACAGGAGGAAGTCTTTGGGGAAATCCTACCTGATTCAGGGAGGTTTTTTTCTGCTATTTATCTGTTGAGCACTTATTGCACTGTGGTTTGTGCACACATATTGTTTTTTTGTATCGTTATAAGTGGATGATTCTGTTTTTCTCACAGAAATCATGATGCTCAATGTAATTTAAATTAATAGGCAGAAAAGTGATACTGTGCAAATCATATTTATCAAGTTGCTAATACAAATTTTCACTAAACAGAGATGTGATACTATGCAAATGTAACTATCAAGTTGCTAATCCAAATTATCAACAAATGTGGTTATGGAAAGATACATTGATAAACTATCTTAGACACCCTTTACATTGCTGTCTTCGCTGTACTCGGCTTGCATTCAAATCTGATTGCTCACTTGTGTCGCTTGCTCTGACTCCGGAATTTCCTTTTTGTTCATTTGTGTTTTAAATTTACATGTGTATGTGTGTGTATATATATCACAGATTTAGACAGATTTGTGAACAATATTTGAGAGAAATAGGCCTTTTGTGTACATAGAAAAAGTCTTAGATCTCTGAGTTCAGCTCATGAAAAACGGGGGCAAAAACAAAAGTGTTGCGTTTTTAATTTTATATATATAAATAAATATATATATATATATATATATATATATATATACATATATACATATATATATACACACACACACACACACACTGAACAAAATTAAACATGGTTTCCCTCCACAGACACATCCACAGCCACAAGCACCATATTACCCACCGCAGCTACTTATCAACCCAGTCAATTTAACACACATCCTCCCCTAGGTACTTATTATTCAGCTGACTTTCAGCAGACTGATCACCCAGCATCCACTCATTGTCGTCCTGCCCGGCAAAATCATCAAACAAGTCACCCAACTACACGTCATTACACTGGCCCTGATCAGTCTCATCTAGATCTCGTACAATAGGTAACTGGCAAACCTGTGTCTGACACCCCTGTTATGGCAGTGTCTGCAGTGGACAAGGGGGGGCCCCTAGCTACCGTAGTATTACCAGTTGAGGGTCATCCTACTAGCTATCTAGTTGACACAGGTGCAGCCCGTAATGTTCTCAGAGAACAAGACCTGCCAGATCCTTCTTACTTGTCTGACCTCGATGTTTCCTGTGTGGGTGTTGATGCTACCCCCTGAAACAACCCATTAACTAAACTCTTGCGTGTTGGTTCTAACATCCTTTCCCGTTTCGTTGTTTCATCTACCCGTCCTTTTAACCTCCTAGAAGCTGATGTGTTGTCTCGCCTTCAGGCTTCTATCTCCTTCACTGCCGATGGTCAGGTCCAATTACTTACCCCACTTTCTCATTAAGATACTTCTGTTCTTTGCTCTTTACCCCTACTCATGCACATGACACGCCCCACAGAGGAAACAAGGGTCCCCGATGCCCCTAGTGCACTGCATACAATCCCAACTAAACTTTGGTCTACAGGCCCAGATGATATTGGCCGTCTCCGAGTCCCACCTGTGGTAGTCACACTCATTGAAGGAGCTACTCCACCACGACAACCACAGTACCCATTGAAACATGCAAAAGCTCTTCTCCAAACAAGTTGAAAGTCTGGTTGCAAAAGGTGCTTTAATCAAATGTGTTTCACAGTGCAATACTCCCCTGTTTCCTGTAAAGAAGAAAACTGAAAAAGGCCAACCAGACCAATATCGCATGGTCCAGGATCTCTGTTCTGTCAATGAGGTTAATAAACGGGACACGGCTGTCGTTCCAAATCCGCATACATTGTTGTCACAAGTGCCTTCAACTGCTAAATTCTTCACAGTTGTTGATCTTGCAAACGCCTTCTTCAGTGTGCCTTTGGATCCTTCATGTCAGTATTTATTCGCTTTCACACATGACTGCCAGCAATATACATGGACTGTCATGCCTCAAGGTGCGCAAAATTCTCCAATGCAATTTGCCAAAGCAATGTCTACTGTGCTTGACCCCTGGCAGAAATCTCACCCAGATGTGGTCCTGCTCCAGTATGTTGATGATTTACTGCTCTGTGCAGATGACTTTCCAACAGCTAAACACCACTCTGTGGATCTTCTCTGTTTCCTCGCAGAAGAGGGTTGCAAAGCCTCCAAAGCTAAACTCCAGTGGTGCCGGCCCACAGTGGTCTTCTTGGGATATTGTCTTTCCCATGGCACCCGTCACTTGACAAGAGACAGAGTTTGTGCTATCACAAATCTTCCCCTTCCATCTACTCACCAGGCCCTCCATGCCTTCTTGGGCCTCATTACTTACTGCAGATCTTGGATTCCTGAGGCCTCTCCACTCATGCAACCCATCTACGACGCCTTGAAGACAGAACCCTTCACATTGTCCTCCACAGCCTGCAGTTGCTACTTTGCTCTACAAAGGGCAATCTCTTCGGCCCCTGCTCTGGGCCTCCCTAACTACCAGTTGCCATTCAAGCTCTTTGTCTCTGAGAATATGGGCCATGCCTCCGGGGTCCTTACTCAATCTCATGGCCCCCGTCAGCACCCCATAGGGTACTTTTCCTGCATGCTTGACCCCGTAGCCAGAGGATGTCCTTCCTGTTTGCGTGCTGTATATATATATATATATATACACACACACACACACACACACTGAACAAAATTAAACATGGTTTCCCTCCACAGGCACATCCACAGCCACAAGCACCATATTACCCACCGAAGCTACTTATCAACCCAGTCAATTTAACACACATCCTCCCCTAGGTACTTATTATTCAGCTGACTTTCAGCAGACTGATCACCCAGCATCCACTCATTGTCGTCCTGCCCGGCAAAATCATCAAACAAGTCACCCAACTACACGTCATTACACTGGTCCTGATCAGTCTCATCTAGATCTCGTACAATAGGTAACTGGCAAACCTGTGTCTGACACCCCTGTTATGGCAGTGTCTGCAGTGGACAAGGGGGGGGCCCTAGCTACCGTAGTATTACCAGTTGAGGGTCATCCTACTAGCTATCTAGTTGACACAGGTGCAGCCCGTAATGTTCTCAGAGAACAAGACCTGCCAGATCCTTCTTACTTGTCTGACCTCGATGTTTCCTGTGTGGGTGTTGATGCTACCCCCTGAAACAACCCATTAACTAAACTCTTGCGTGTTGGTTCTAACATCCTTTCCCGTTTCGTTGTTTCATCTACCCGTCCTTTTAACCTCCTAGAAGCTGATGTGTTGTCTCGCCTTCAGGCTTCTATCTCCTTCACTGCCGATGGTCAGGTCCAATTACTTACCCCACTTTCTCATTAAGATACTTCTGTTCTTTGCTCTTTACCCCTACTCATGCACATGACACGCCCCACAGAGGAAACAAGGGTCCCCGATGCCCCTAGTGCACTGCATACAATCCCAACTAAACTTTGGTCTACAGGCCCAGATGATATTGGCCGTCTCCGAGTCCCACCTGTGGTAGTCACACTCATTGAAGGAGCTACTCCACCACGACAACCACAGTACCCATTGAAACATGCAAAAGCTCTTCTCCAAACAAGTTGAAAGTCTGGTTGCAAAAGGTGCTTTAATCAAATGTGTTTCACAGTGCAATACTCCCCTGTTTCCTGTAAAGAAGAAAACTGAAAAAGGCCAACCAGACCAATATCGCATGGTCCAGGATCTCTGTTCTGTCAATGAGGTTAATAAACGGGACACGGCTGTCGTTCCAAATCCGCATACATTGTTGTCACAAGTGCCTTCAACTGCTAAATTCTTCACAGTTGTTGATCTTGCAAACGCCTTCTTCAGTGTGCCTTTGGATCCTTCATGTCAGTATTTATTCGCTTTCACACATGACTGCCAGCAATATACATGGACTGTCATGCCTCAAGGTGCGCAAAATTCTCCAATGCAATTTGCCAAAGCAATGTCTACTGTGCTTGACCCCTGGCAGAAATCTCACCCAGATGTGGTCCTGCTCCAGTATGTTGATGATTTACTGCTCTGTGCAGATGACTTTCCAACAGCTAAACACCACTCTGTGGATTTTCTCTGTTTCCTCGCAGAAGAGGGTTGCAAAGCCTCCAAAGCTAAACTCCAGTGGTGCCGGCCCACAGTGGTCTTCTTGGGATATTGTCTTTCCCATGGCACCCGTCACTTGACAAGAGACAGAGTTTGTGCTATCACAAATCTTCCCCTTCCATCTACTCACCAGGCCCTCCATGCCTTCTTGGGCCTCATTACTTACTGCAGATCTTGGATTCCTGAGGCCTCTCCACTCATGCAACCCATCTACGACACCTTGAAGACAGAACCCTTCACATTGTCCTCCACAGCCTGCAGTTGCTACTTTGCTCTACAAAGGGCAATCTCTTCGGCCCCTGCTCTGGGCCTCCCTAACTACCAGTTGCCATTCAAGCTCTTTGTCTCTGAGAATATGGGCCATGCCTCCGGGGTCCTTACTCAATCTCATGGCCACCGTCAGCACCCCATAGGGTACTTTTCCTGCATGCTTGACCCCGTAGCCAGAGGATGTCCTTCCTGTTTGCGTGCTGTCTTTTCTGCAAGTGCCCTCCTGGATAAAACTAATGATTTCATTATTGGACACAAACTGACTGTTCTGGCTCCACATGCAATCGCTGCTATTCTGAACCAAGTCCAACCGAAACATCTTTCCTGTCAGAGACACCTTCATCTTCAAACTTCTCTTCTTTTACCAGACAACGTTACTTTGCAACGATGTTATACTTTGAATCCAGCCACTCTTCTGCCCCTTCCCAAGGGGGGTGTTCCACAATACTGGTACAGTTTACATATACATCCTGATGTTTACATGGAACTACAAATTGAAAAGCCCACAATTCTACATGATGAACAACCCGAGACCCAACTAGATTGCACCCTGTGGTTTTGAGATACTCCAGGTCCTGACTCATACTATGAAGAAGAATTGCTTAGCCTGGTGGAGGTGCTGATTAAATTGACAGACCTATTCTGTGACTCCAAAGGGAACATTGTCATCCTAGTCTGTTTACCAATGGAGGTATCACATTTGTATCACCATTGGGAGGCGGCTGTTCCTCATGTTTCTTTCACCAAGTCTCCAGATCTATCATGGAAAGAACTCAGGCCAATGGCCAAAGAATGGAGCACTGTAACACAAGAACAACTTACAGTGACGGGGGTCACTAAGAAGACCATAAATTACAAAACTATCGGTTACCCCCAGTATCATGTAGAGCTATGTGAAGATGTGCCTCCTGCGGAACCAGACCCAGAAGCTCCACATGATTGCTTTGAACAGATGAAGATGGAAACTACCCATCTTCCCACAGTGCACGAAACTGCCTTGCCAAACCCTGACTACATGCTGTTTGTGGATGGTTCCAGATTCGCAGACGAACAGGGTCAATACCATACTGGGTATGCAGTCACCATAGAAGACCAAATACTTCAAGCATCCTCACTTCCCTCCTCCAAATCAGCCCAAGAAGCCGAGTTGATAGCCCTCACAGTGGCATGCAGAATATCAGAAGGAAAGCGTGTCAACATTTACACATACTCCAGGTATGTCCTAGGAGTAGCGCATGACTTTGGCTTAATCTGGAAGACCAGAGGATTCCTTACAGCAACAGGTACTCCTGTAAAACATGGTGCGACCATCAATGAGTTAATGGACGCCTTACTACTGCCAGAAGAAGTAGCTATACTAAAAGTCAAGGCCCATGGGTAATTGAATTCAGAAAAAGCCCATGGTAACCATCTGGTCGACCAAGCAGCTAAAGATGCAGTGCGCCAGAATTGGGAAGTGGACAGAAGAGTGTCTGATAAATGAAACCCTATTTACACCATGCAAACCCTACCCACTGACCTCAGATTCCTAAGAGAGCAACAGGCCACTGCTACCCCACAGGAAAAACAAAGCTGGAAGGACAAAGGAGCAATCATACAGAATGATATATATACAATCAACCTCAAATTCTGTCTACCCAAGAATATGTATCCAGCTGTTGTCCAATGGGCTCATGGACCAACACATTTGTCAAAACAACTCATGAACTCTTTGATTGACAAATATTTCGAAGCACCTGGGATCACTACCTTAACTCGAAACTACTGCTGGTCCTGTACTATCTGTGCTAAATGCAACCCAGGGAAAATAATCAAAGCTGCACCGAATCATTTGGCCAAACCACAATATCCCTTCCAGAGGATCCAAATTGATCATATCCAAATGGCAAAGAGCGGCCATTATGAGTATGCGCTGGTCATAGTGGATATGTTTTCAGGGTGGCCAGAAGCTTTTCCAGTTGCCAACCTTACTGCAAACACTACCACTAAACACCTACTCACTGAAATAATCTGCAGATACAGAGTCCCCGAAGTAATTGAAAGTGACCAAGGTACATCTTTCCCCGCATTAATGACCCGAGAAATCTGGGCAGCACTGGGGGTGACCCTTGCTTTCCACACACCCTATCACCCATAGAGTAGTGGTAAGGAAGAACGCATGAATGGCACTCTGAAAGCCAGAATGCTCAAAATGTCACAGGAAACTAATTTGCCCTGGCCGGAGAGTCTCCCCATAGCACTCTTTTGTGTAAGGTATACCCCAAGAGATGAGTTTATCCACCTACAAGATTTTGTTTGGGACAGCACCCAGGTTAGGTTGTTACTTTCCACAACAACTTCAACTCCAGTCAGATGCAATGGTAGATTATATAACTGCACTCTCTCATGCCTTGACCAAAATCCATGCACAGGTGTTTTCTTCTATTCCAGATCCAGAATCCAATACAGGCACGTACTGGTGATTGGGTTATGGTCAAGAACTTCCTAAGGAAACATACTCTTGGGCCAAGGTTTGATGGTCCGTTCCAAGTACTACTGACTACAGCTACCTCTGTGAAGTTGGCTGGGAAGAACACTTGGATACACGCTTCACACTGTAAGAAGGTTCCTGATCTAGAGGAAGTGGATCCCACCCCAACATGAGCCTTTTATATTTATGTTTGCTGCTAGGCCTCTTAGAGGCCCAACAAGTTGCTATTACCAAAGACAATCATGTTTACACATGTGGATGAGTGGATGGCAAAGGACTCTTTTACAAATAGAGTAAATGGCAGTTCTTACTGTAATGATCTTTCCTCTTTCGAACCTGTTGTGTGGTTCCATGTGTGCAAAGGTACTTACAAAAGACCGTAGACCAGACCATTGACCGCATCACACCCATATATCTACACCAAGATGCTGATAATATTGACTGTGACACTCCACACACACCACTTCAGTCCCATCATTTCAAACAGACAGCAATTACTACCGCTCTATAGGAACCGTATAGGGATAGCGTCTGTCTCTACGTGCAGGAGTCTGACGCAGGAAATGTAGTGGGTTAGCCGCTGCGGGATACCTACGCAGTGAAGTGTTCGAGGCCTGTTAAGACAGATGAGCTCACAGATTAGGGACATAATTAGGGTTAGCTAGTAGTTGGCTGTCTTTTCTTTCCTTCCTTTTGTAAATAGTCATTATAAGGGAGGACTGTTGTGGGCAAAAATATGAACCCAATCTACATTTGTAAAATGTCTATTTACTCAGCATAACTACAATCAGCAGTATTCAACTTTCTATGTGATTATCTAAAATGGCCGCTAGGGAGTTTCCCCTCTAACATCGACTAACACTCTCATTAGCAAGATGGCGCTGGAATCTGGGGGAGACCTCCACGATGCCAGTGACATCACCCTCAGTAGGCAGAGCATTAAATGAACCACTTAACACCAAACCAATTATTGATGTATTATTCCATGTTATCTCTAACAATGCTTATGATGTAATTTTGCTTTAAAAGGGACATGTCGTCCCCTCTGAATAATTCCTCAAGTTTTTCATTAACCCGAAACTTGTGTCTGGTGTGAATTACTTCAGGAGCGTGCACGCACTATTTCTTTAATTTGGCCAGGGGCAGATACACAAGATAATCAATTTATTGATTGATTTCCACATCAATATATACATATATTGTGTGTGTATATATATTTGGGAGTCTAGCCAACTCCTTGGTTTTGCACCCCTCCCTGTCACAGGTGCCTCATCCCAGGGCCCTATTTAGCCTTGTACTGCAGAGAGCCCCGGATGGAATTTCTTTCCCCAAGTAGGTTAATCTCATAAGAGCAGACATTAGGCTGTTAGTGTAGGACCTGCCAAAGATGGGGTACATTGACGTTGTGGCAGGCTTATGCAATGTATGATCATATAATGTAACTAAACCCCCATTATTTTTGCCTAGATTAGGTGTTTTTAAAAAAACAAATAAAATCTTTCAACATTGAAGTTGCTGTTTAGTGGATAGGTGAGTGCGCTGGATCTTGTGTATTATATATATATATATATATACACATTTCTATTTTAATTTTACGTCTAATATATATTTTTTATACTTCCCACCAGCAGGGGGACTATCTGAAATTTCAGACAGTCCCCCTGCTGGCAGATCCACAGCCAGCTATAGGGAGTCATGTAATCGCTCTTTGAGAGCGATCACATGGCCCCCGGGGGCTTCTTTTGCCGTGGGAGGGCTGCCTGGGCTGTCAGGCAGTCCTCCTGAAGTGGAGCGCCAGTAAGGTGAGTATACCGGGCACTCCAGGGGCTTCAGCCGTTACTGCGTTCTATGCCGCTGCAACGGCTTTAAAGACCATTTAATGCGGGACGGCATAGAATGCCATAACGGCGTTAAGGGGTTAAAAGAAAAACTACCACAACAAGAGGACATTAAATTAGAGGGAAGTATTACTTTACTTTACTGAGAGGGTAGTGGATGCCTGGAATAGCCTTTCAGCTGAAGTGGTAAATGTTAACACAGTGAAGGAGTTTAAGCATGCGTGGGATAGGCATAAGCCTATAAGATAAAGCCAGGGACTAATGAAAGTATTTAGATAAATTGGACAGACTAGATGGGCCAAATGGTTCTTATTTGCCATCACATTCTATGATTCTATGTTTCTATGACATGGTGGTAGGAGTCTGAATGTACAGTGTATTTACATATGTTCCCAGATAAGTGGCATATGAAAATAGTCACAGTCATATATTGATGACTATTGGGTCAATAACGCGCTTAAATAACCCTCCAACCCAACTGTAGGTGTACCAGTAAATCACACTGCTGAAAAGGGTCAACAGTTTCAAGGGCTTTAAAATACTTGGTAAGGTCAAAATGTTTGTTCGTCCAGCTCTTCTGAGGGTCAGAATATTTTTTGAGATAGAGGAATTATGTTTTCCTTTTTTTTTGCTTTTATTTATTTTACATTAAATGTGTCACTTGTAATTCTTTTTTATCCATTAAGCTTATGAAGTAAAATACAATTTTCAAGTGGAGCTTTTTCATATAGATCAGGAGTAGTCAAGCCGTTAATGCCTACCACCCACTTTTGTATCTTTATTGATGGTAAAATTTCCTTACCGCCCACCAGTGCCACAGTAGCTAATTTTATAGAGCAAGTGCGATTTAAAAAAAAAAAAACATAAAAAAAAAAAGAATATGTACTTAACTGGTTACTACGTACCTTTTTTCTGTGTGTTCGGAGCCACTTTTGGGATCCCCTTGCCACAAGGGTCTCCTTCATTAACTTGTACTTAAATTGATCTATTTATTTTTCCTTTTTTCTATTTTCTATTCTACTTTTTTCTATGTGAGTGTGTGTGTGTTTGTGTGTGAAGGGTAGTGTTTTTGTGTGTGTGTGTGGTGCAGTGTATGTGAGGAGGCATTGTGTGTGAAGGGTGCAGTGTGTGTGTGAGTGGTGTTGTGTGTGTTTGAGGCGTGTTGTATGTGTATGAAGGGTGCTGTGTGTGTATGTGAAGGGTGCTGTGTGTGTCTGTGTGTGTGAGAGATATAGTGTGTGAAGGGTACAGTGTGTGTGTGTGTGTGTGTGTGTGTAATAATCAGGATCCTCCAGTTAAGTATATAAAGGAAGTAAAACACAACTTAACTGGAGGATCCTGATTATCAGAAGAGATACAGTTGCTGCCAGAAGGTCACTAATACGTATGCGTTCAGAGCCATATCATCAAAAAGGCTCAAAACACTGTAAGCATATATACGCTACGAGCTTACTATAATATAATTTCAGAAATTTTATTGCACTATGTATTTTATTGTTTTTGCTTCTCTTTCATGTTAATGAGAGCTAATTACCCCATATCCATAGAGGGGTAAGTGTGAACTAGATATCTGAAGCACTGCACTCGCACTTTGATGTTTTTTGTGGCGGTGGTCCATCACTTAAGCATTGCGGTATTTGTTTTTTTGATGTTTGTAGGTGGGATATTTTTGGGAGTTCCCACAGAGTGCCACAGCTACTGATTGTTAATTTTGTTCTTAGATATAATAACAATAAATGCCATTATATCTACACCTCTGTTTTTTACAAAATGTGATGTTTGAATCATCGTAACTAATACACTGATATTAAACATAAGAAACGCCTGCTAAATTAATAGTTCTGATTTATGTCTTGTAAAAGATAAACTACAATGTCAACAATCAAGCTTTTCTCTTAAGTGTGGAAAATGATTTCAGGTTACCAAAATATGCAGCAATTAATATAATTCCAGCTTAAACATTACTTTATTCATAGGTAGGATGAAAGAGGCATTTTCCATTTAAAGTATATAAATTATAGAGCCCTACAAACTACAGATTTATATCTATAATTCTACAAATCAACTAGTTTCTGTTTAAATAAATATTTAGTCCAGTTTTGCATTTGTAGAATAGTAATCAATGTAATGAATGTTGTCATGTTTCACTAATTAAATGGCCATCATGCTTTATTGCAAAAAAATGCAGACAAAGTCTGAAAAGTAGGAATAGTGGTGTAACATACACATTTTGTCACCAGAGAGAAAAATATTAAATCCTGGGTCTAGGTTTTATGTTTTGATTAAACCTTCTATAGCAAAACAGAAAACTCACATAATTACTGTTGTAAGCAAACATGGTACCACTTCTTCACAACAATGACAAAGCCATTTTTGATTCATGCGTATTTACTAGAAAAAAAAAACAAAGCGTGTGTCCTCCTTCCTCTTCTTTCTTTGATGTTTCACCACAGTAAGTCTAACAGACTTCCAAGCCATCCCAATAGGGGTCCCTCTCGGATTCAAGTTTTCCTCTGGTGTTATATCAACCACTTTAGGAATGAGTCCACACATTTATATATATTT